AACTGTCGCTTGTGGGAGGGACCCCACAGCCTCATAGGGGAAGGATTCCTCTCCAGGAACAGTGGAAGAAGATCTGGGGTGATAAACTGACCAAACCCCTGCCACCTGTCTCCTTGAGCTTTTGGTTGGGAGAAGGGAGGGGTTGGAGGAAAAAGGGATTTTTTTTAATCTCTTATTTTGCTTCTCAGTATTCTCTGATTTTCTTGGTAATAAATTTACTTTGTACTTCTAAGTTGAGCTTGTTTTGGCCTTGGAATGTTTTCTCCTGGTCCCAATCTCAACTCTTGAACATTTTGTTGAATTTGAACCCAGAATTCAATTTTTCTTTCCTCTGCCCATCTATGGCAGGGGAGCATGAATGAGCAACACCATGGGTGCCTGGCATTTTGCCAGTGTCAAACCCTTGACCACATCTAATCAAAAAGTACCAAAATAACTATCTGAGGAAGTAGAAATAGTCAACCAGCTTTGAAACTATGATAGTGTATTGGTTTTGGTTTGCCAGTCTGAGTCACAGCACCAGTTAATGTGGTGGGTTGAGTGCTGGCTAAATGCCACTACACCCACTGAAATTATTTACTCATTTTCTGCTGTGAGATAAGGATTAGGAGAAGAGCAAAAGCAGGCTCAAAACTTTAAAGAGTATAAATAAAACTTTTTTAACATAACTAAAAGAAGAATAATAAGAATCAAAATAAACCTTCAGAACACTTCTCCTCCCCTGCCCCCACCTCCTCTTTCTTTTCCTACTGACAATGTTAAGAAACAAAATCTGGGACTTTCAGCCAGCTTGCCACCTCTAAAATAGTCTTCAGTTTGCTTAGGGACAGGAGTCCCTCCTGCCATGCCATGGAGACTTTTCCACAAGAAACAGTTCTCTTGTGGTTTTAATTTTCATGGATAGCAGCCACCCAGAAATCTACAAACATTAATTCCTTCTCACATTTGATAGTCTTCTCACAACTACCACAATGGGTCATCTCAGCTTATTGGGGTGCAATTTTAGGGGTAAGCTGTTCTAGCCTAGAGACAGAAGTTTTCTTCATCCATCTCTGAGAAAAAGAGGTCTTTTTATTTCTGTCCCTGCATCAAGGTTTCTCATCTTTCTCATTTCTCTGTCTATTCAAGCCTCTCATCAAACCCAGCTATTTCAACATCTTCTTGCTTCACCACTGGTGCCTTTGCTCATGGCTGTGGTTAGAACGCTCAATCCTCCCGATGCATTCCATGAGTTAAAGGGAAAAAGTTTCTAATGTGTCAACTACATCTTCACCATAGAATTCTCAAGAGAATTTTAGCCCAAAACTAAGGCATCTCCTCGTTCCCCTGCCATCTGGGCTTTGACTCTTCTTTCTTCACTGACATTGATGTCTCTGTGTTGTTCTCTTCACATCTCTTCAACTTGCCTTTTTTTCTGATTTGGGAGAAGTGGCACCCACAGGTTTATCTATTTTTAAGTGGAGTTCTAGAGTACTGAAAGAGTTAATCTTACAGCAGCAGCAGGAAATGGCCTGGCCAGGCCTAGCCCAGAGCTGCTCCCTGGGCTTGGTGGGGCAGGGTTTAGTGGAGGCAGGATGTTAGCATCTGCGCCCGGCCTAGCCTTGGCCCCTATCCTGGTTTGATTACATGATGCTTTTATCCCCAGTCATCTTGTTCTGTTTATGCTGAATAATAAGTTTTGCACCTTTAAGACTTGTTTAAGAAAGTGAAAGGGGGAGAGAAGAAGCCCCCAGTTTGTTTTCAGACACTGCACTCAGTCCTCCACATTTCTTTGCCTGGACTGTGCTGCCTGTGGATGGACAGACTGCAGGACAGAGATCTCCCTTGTTTTAATTAATTTTAGCTAGCTGAGGCAAAGTTCCTCAGCTAGACTGTTTTTTTCCCCCTTTTATTTAAACCTGTTTAAACCTGCTCTAAACAGAACACCAAAAGAGCACCAGCGGCCCACACCTGTGGCCCACCGGGCCAGGCCTGGGCCATGGCAGTTCCAGCACCAGAAAGACTAATAAAAGACTGAGTAAGCTAAGCTACAACCCAGAGAGAGGACTTTCTGAGTTTGTCATCTCTTTTAGAGCAACAAGAGGTTTTATTGTTTAATAAAGTTTTAGTTTTATTGTTATAAACAGATTTTTTCCCACTTTTCTCTAAAGAAATATTTTCTCCCAAACCAAAGAGAAAGGCCAATTGAATCTGCTTTCCTAGAAGAGCCCTTTTGAAAATTCTCTCCAAAATTTGCCCTAAACCAAGACAGCCCCACAGCCTCCCCTACCCTGCCCAGCCACCATTTCAAATCCAGAAACAAGACAGAGCTTTGGCTGTGCTTCTTTTCTTAAATATATGGATTTGTAGGGCGATTCTAGCTGGTTATTGGTTCTCTCAGCCATAGAGAAAGCCATACTATTTCCACAGAGAAGGGCACTTCTTTTTCCTTACCAAAAAGACCCGATTGAGTTTAATCCAGGATAGGTAGGTCACAGAATGACTCTTACTAAAAGCCGTTTCTGTGCCTGTGATTGTTAACCTTGATTTATCAAAGGTATTGGATTTCCTTATGTGAAAAAATAACCAGACTTTTGATCATCAGGAGTGAAATGGGTGTCCTTTACTTCAGCAAGGCTTTTGACAGTCTTCCACAATGCTCTATCCAAGTTACATTGATACAGTCTGAGTCAGATTTGTACGAAACTCATTTGATTGTTAGGCTCAGCAGGTTGAGTTGAAATGAGTTGCACTCTACCAGGTTGCTGGTAACAAGTGGGGCAGCACGTGGACTGACCCTGCTTAGCACCTTGATTGTTAACATGGAGGAGTTTATGGAATGCTTGCATATAAGGTGTTCCATAAACAGCAGACAAGGGATATCAGTTTTGTCCAGAGGGACCTGGAGAAGTTGGAGGAATAGATTGACAGGAAATTAACTATATTCAACAAAGTTAAATGCGAAGTCATACACCTGGGAAGGAACAGATCCCTTTATAACTGTACCTGGTGGAGACTCACCAGCTGATAAAGATTTCTTCTGTAACTGGCTTGTAGGATATGGTGGATAGGAGGAGCCTGTGGTGTGTCCTGGGAGCAAAGGCCGACAACAGCTCTGTGAAGGTAGCAGGTTTCTACAGACTAGGGACCATTTAGCCTGGAGAAGAGATGGCTTTAGGGGAACATAACAGCAGGTCTTTGGCACCGTCAGGCAACTGAAGAGGCACCAGCCAGTCTGTTCATGGTAGGGTATGGGGAAAACCTGAGAAATGTTGTCTTATATATAAAGAGTTCTGCTATCATTATAGTGCAAGGATTCCATATCCTTAGAGTTTTTTTCTCCTCAGTGTTTCTCATAGGCACCTCCTCTATGCACTGACTGTTCCTGGTCCTTGCAGTAATCATCTGACTTCAGTTCCCCCCAATCCACTCTTTTATGCCACTGTTCTTGTTGGCTACAAGTGTGGCCTGTTAAGATCAGGCCTGCTCCTAATTTTAGTAATTGATTCAGCTGCAAGTCTTTCGGGGATAAGATTACATGCTGTACCACCTTCATACTGTATCCCCCTACAGAGCAACACTGTGCAGGTGCTGAAACAAGAGAGAATCAGATTGGATCATCCAGATTACAGTTAGACAGTAGAGCCTGATTTAAAACAAGCCAGAAAATTTTAGGTTGTTATATTAATCTAGTCTGACCTCATATGCAGGACAATTAGAGGAAGATTGAACTGGTTTCCATCAGCCTGAGTTGTGTATATGTTCCTCTACTATGGTCTTGTTTTATATTTGTGCTGGTAGGGACCTGTAAAACCAGGGGCAGCTTGATTGTAGAAACTGTAGAGGAGTGGTCTGTGGGGCAGATGTTAAAGATGCCATCTCAAGAACCCTTACAACAGAGACTCCTGTTGCTACCCCATAGTGATAGATTGTCTTGTCTGCTTTGACTGCTTACATAAATGCAGTCCTATGTCAACACCGCAGTAAATTGTTTTGCTTTCAACAAACACTCTCAGTATCTATAAAGTAGCATTATGAAGTAGTTGAATCAATTTAGTCATTTAGTCAGATGTATAGGAGAATTTGAGATAGGTTTTGGCATGCAAAGGCAGCTTTATATTTCATAATATTTTCTTCTTCTCTCATGGTCTGAAGTTCAAATTCATATTTGTGGTTTTGGTGGTATTTGTTGATGTCACATGTGGAAAAAGGTTATATGTGGGAATATGTATATCTTTAACAGTTGCTGTTGTTGATAATATTATCATTGTCAGATTCAGAACAGGGTTAAGAAAAAACTATACTGAAAAACATAGTACTTAAAAGTTGGTATGAAAGCATAGGTATTACAGGTTTTGGTTTTGTTTTGGCAAAGAAGAGGTTCTAGCCCTTGTGAATGTGAAAACAAACTTTTAAGTGGCTGAGTCACACAGAAAAGTCTAGATATTCTGTTAAATTTTGAAAGGTCTGAATTATTCCTGACACTTTTCTAAAAGTTTGTAATGTGATGGCAGAGCCCCAGTCAAAAGTAGTTTGAAAAGTATCAAGAAAACCTTCATAATACCTTCAAAGGATGCACTTGAAATGTTTCACACTGCATGTGTAGGACCGGAAGGGGGAATGACATTTCTGTAGTTTCTATTCCCCATTTATCTTGGCATTCGAAAGCTGAGGTAGACAGCAAATGTAAGTTTTGATTGCAACAGGGCAATAATCAATTAATTGCCTTGTAGGGGAGAAATGGCCTGTTCCAGCTTTTAAATATTGCATTGAGGCAAACCTTTTTATTACTTTCTCCTAGGATTGTCTCATTCCTGTAACTCCTGTTAATGCTTCTGCACACATGCAGGTTTAAAACAATATTTTCAGAAAACAGATGCTCTAAAATCTATTTTAATCCAACTGCTGACAATATGCAACTAAAAAAAGTAGGATAAACTTTAGAGTATAATGTCTTTTCCTTAATTTAATCTTTTTCTACCTCCTTCAAACTTTTCCTTTTTTTTTTTTTTTTTTGGCAGGGTGCTTTACACATCCTCTGACCCATTAAAATCAATCTGATTCATTTTCCATTACAAAAGGTAAAAGCTATATGTATTTCCAGTCTGTTTTAACTGTATGTAACTTCATTGTCTGAAATGTAATCTGTTAAATGATTTCTGAGCTTGAAAAGCAGGCTGATGTCTGACAATCTCATGGCACTCCAGACCCCTTAGGATTTGTGCGCTTCCATCCAGAAGAAATGACACATCCCCAAAATTAAAAACAGACCATCTAATGGTTTCTGAGCCTGTTTGCTTTCAATATCTCCAGGTATGAAGTGGAAGAAACTGCTGAAAAGGTGAATGAGAGCAAAGAAAGATGTATAAAAGAGTTTATCATCATAAAAGGTGAGTTAAATAGAGTCTAAGTTTCCTGCTGTTTCTTGTGCAATTTTACCTGGCAATTTGCCCTAGCATAAATGGATGTGGAGACTTCCCTAACAGAAATTATTTTGGACCCTATTGCACAATAAATTAGACAGTATCTTGGACATCTGTGTTTGAGCAGACTTTTCCTCAGAGGTTTTAGAAGACCTCTTCAGTAATGGTGAATGATAATTAAGTTCCTACACAGTCTTCCTTCCTTGCACCTCTGAGATGCTTCTACTGTGACCTCTCATATTCTTCTCTTATTGTTTTAGGGTATAACCGTTTCTACATTTCTACAGAGATTTCTCCTTCCAGACTTCAGCTACTGAGGAATAAATGACGATGTGCTGTGACCTTTTATACTAGCATTTCACAGTCCCATGTGAATTGCAATTACATTTTCTCTTTTTGGCATATGTGGCCCCTCAGGGCTTTACACAGCTGATGATCTGTGGCAGGTCTCTCCTGAGTATCAGAAACAAGACTGCCCAGATGAACAACAGCTGCACGTTCAAGTGCAGAATTATTTCTCATGCAAAAAGGTATAAGAATTCTTCCTGGAAAAGTGAAAAAAAAATCTAAAGATGAGTAAGATATTAGTTACTCAAATACTTTTTTTTCAATTGAAAACCCGTTCTACTCCTACTTTAACAGTATACAGTCATAACCCATACTTATTAAACCTCTGTGGAAACTAGTAGTTAGTCATTCAGTGATCTGAGAAAAAAACATGGAGACCAGCATATATGATGAAAGGTGTTGGGATTTATGTGTTCCTCTTGCTAAGAAAAATATTTGAAGTGAGTGGACTTCTAAAATTAAAATAAATGTGTCTGAGAGGACATAGACGCCCAAATCTGGAGATGAGATATACTGAGCTACCCTGAGAATATTCATTATTTATATTCACTTTTGAACATGTTTGTTCATAAACCTTCCAGTCAGTTTAGTAACAAAACCTGAATAAGCATCTTGGTATTGTGATTTTTCATTTGATTCCTGTTTTGTGGATTCAGCAGTACTAGGATGTGCAAAAAAGCAAGGAGTGTGTTCTAAGTGCCGTAGGAGTTCAGTGAGATTCAAAAACCTCACAAAAGAGGAGCTTTAAGAAAGATAACCATTAACACTCTAAGAAAATAATACAGTGCTTCACTACGAATTTTGCATGAGAAAAAAATATCCTCTCCCAGTGCCCCATTTATATTTATGTGTGGGTAAACCGTTTTGCCATGCCATTGTTAAACTTGCAATTGCATTGTTGTCTGTGCTTTTTGATCTTTTGTTATCAGACCAAACAAGTTCTCAGTGTATTATAAAGCACATTTCTAAAACGTGTTCATCAAGTTTGTATCCTTCTAGCTGAAGGAAAGTAAGAAGATGCGTACAAAATAAGGTATTATCTTTCTAAAGAATAATTACTTTTGCATTTGTTTGATTCATTTGCCATGTCTTTGTGCTCAATGTGACTTGTTTGTAAACAAATATTTTGGTAGACCAAGACTGGAGATCACTGCAATATTTTAAGAAACAGGGAGACATTCATGCCTACTTTATAGAGCTTTTTTGAAACTTATACTACATGGTAGATCTGCAAGTGTGGAACAGCAGAAGTCTAGAATCAGTACAAAAATTAAGTGAAAAATATTTGCTGGAAAAGCAAATTGCTTTTAGAAATACCATTTGACATTGTTTTTGACCATCAATTTTTAAAAACATGGCTCTGTTAGACTATCTTCAACACTTATCTAGTCTTCAGTGTCATCCTTTTGCAGACAAAAATATGTATGCAAGGAGTGCTTATTTGTTCCTTAGACATTGGAAGAAATATAGCCTTTGAAGAAGCCTTTGATAAAACAATCTTATAAATTAAAACAACAACAACAACAAAAACAAATCCATAAGAAGTCTGTGTCCTGAAAATCCTCAGAAAACCCATCTGCTTTGCTTTCCTCACTATATTCTATAGTATTGGAAAATTCCTTAATTTTTAGTATTTTTATTTTATTTTACTTGATTCACTTGATTAAAAATTAATCACAATTAAAAAACATTGTCCAGAATCTGTGTTTTGGATGGTGATAGAATCTTCATTTTCATGCAGTTTTTTAGATTGCATAGCATGCAAATACAATGGTCTGAAAAAAGAAACTTAGAGCATGCATGTTACATGATTCATAAAATACTGTTGGAGAGCATATGAATATTTTTGGCGAAAGCTACAAGAATACTCTGATCAGGCTAAATTCTGTAATATGATGACTAAAATGATGGATCCACCATGTATATGGTAAATGGGAAATTACATAGAACTGCCATATTATTGGATCTATTTAACAGCTTATGAAAAACTCAGTGCCTACAAAAAAGCAGAACATGATATAAGAGCAGAGATAAAGCAATTCAGTGAAAACTGGCATGAAATTAGAGGAAAAATCAATCTTTGATAATGACAATCTTTTACCTAAATGTGAACTTCCGGCAGGCTAGGGAGGCCTGTTTATGAAAAAATGAGCAATCCCAGAAGAAAAATAAATTAAATTACAGGAGGCCACTTCTTACCAGTTTGAACTAGTTCTTTATTTTCTGCTGAAGTGATCAATTTTCTTTTACTCAAGTTATCAAATTATCTCCTCAGAGATTTTCAATTTCTTTGCAGCTGGTGGGTGCTTGGATAAAACAGAGGATAGAATTCAGCTCACATTTTTTGAAGGGCTTTGGTATCTTTCAGGATAAAGAATTCAATGTAAATGTAAGATTATTATGTAGAAGAAGTGCTGTGAACTCAGAAAGCAATTAAAAAAGACAATGTAGAAATTATTATCAGGTTCATGAACAGAATAATGAAGGGTAATGCATCTTTTACAGGAATTGCAAAATGCAAATGAGTAACAATGCTTATTTATAAACTATTATCAGTGTTGGCTGTGATGTGTTTGCAGATACAGCATATTTTAAAATGAAAGACAAAACTGCTGGAGCATCTAAAAGAAAATTAATAGAATCTACTAAATCCTGAATTCCAAGGTTATCATTGGGAATCTGTATGGTAATGACAGTCAAGGAAATAAACAATATCTGGTTATGCAAAAGCTTTTGGTTGGCTTAAATATTAACATGATGTATTTCTTATATAAGATTGTATAAATTTTAGGACAATAAAATGGAAATAAAATCCCTTGTATTATGTTCTCAGTGCTAATATTATTCTGAATGAGCTACCAGGAGAGATTTATCTGAGCTTAGCAATGTCATTGTACCTGATATGGCTATAAGAATGTTAAATGAAAGCTACCCCTGTACTTTGGCAAATCTGTGCACAGAAACTAATTTCTCTTTGATTTTATCAAATTAAATTAAAAATCAGAATACTTCTGCCCAGTATCTTTCTCCTCTACAAGTCCAACACAGATGTGTGTTGAAGGCAGAAGAATTCACTGAGGAGTGGTGGTAGAGGTAGTTTTTATACGTTCTTTTCCCTGTGAATTTTAATTTTCTGAATTAATTTACATTGTTTGTGGGCTTAGACCCTTAAGCCTGTGATAAGATTTCCTTTCGGAATATGACGTCTAGCTAATCTTCAAATGATGTCACTCAAAATGAGCAATTATATATAGGAAGGTATGCTAGTTTGGGCTAGGGTGGACTCACTTTTCTTTGTCTTAGCAGCTTTGGCACTGTGTTTTGGATTTGTGCAGAAAAGAGTGTTGATAGTACAGGGATGTTTTTATTTCTGCTGAACAGTACTTACACAGAGTAGGTTGGAGGTTTACAAGCAGCTAGGAGAGGACAGTTGGCCCCACTGACCAAAGGGATATTTCATACCCATGGCATTATGCTCAGCATATAAACTGAGGAAGAGAAGGAAAGGAGGGATATTTGAAGTGATGGCTTTTGTCTTCCAAAGTCACCATTATTCATGATGGAGCCCTGCTTTCCTAGAGACAGCTGGATACCTGCCTGCCCATGGCGAGTGGTGAATGCATCAAATATTTTTATTTTCTTGCACGTGTGACTTTTGCTTTACCTATTAAAATGTCTTTATCAAACCGATGGGTTTACTCAAGTTTACTTTTCTGGTTCTCTCCCCCATCCCACTGCAGGTGAGTGAATAAGCAGCTGTGTGAGGCTGAGTTTCCATTTGGGCTTAAACCATGAGAAAAACAAAATATCTTCCTGTGGAGAGAGCTGACTGAGGATACTGCTGATTGGCTTTCGGTCATTACTGAAAGGTTGTGGAGATGGATGGGAAAAGATATTACCTTCCAGTACCTGAATGGAGCCTACAAGAAACCTGGAGAGGAGCTATCTACATGTGACAGGACACATGGGAATGTCCTCAAACTGAAAGAGAGTAGGTTTAGATTAGATATTGGAAACAAAAATCATTTGAGGGTTTTAAGGCACTGAAACAGGCTGCCCAGAAAAGTTATGGGTGCCCCATGCCTGCAAGTTTTCAAGACCAGGTTGGATGTGGTTTTGAGTAACCTGGTCGAGGGGGTTAGGGAACTAGGTGATCTTTTAAGGTTCCTTCCAACCCTGGTGATTCTATCACTCTGTGTTTCAAGGATTCAGTCTGGAACACTATGGCTTGTATAGCTGACCTGCTAAATGGGCAAAAAGATTGCGGGGTTTTGAGGACAGAGGGTTGTTTTTGTCATGCTCTGTCCGAAGGCCAGTAATAGTGAGTTTCTTGGGAAATCTGTCTTGAACCTATCCCATTCAATGTATCCTGTTCTTCTGTGGTTGTGTCCTCACAAAACTTGTGGGTGAACCAAACAAGGATGTGGTTGATAACAGCTTTTTACAAGTCCATGGACACCTTGAAGGAATAGACCAAAAGGAATGCTATTAAATTAAACATGGATAAATATAATTGTCTGTGATAGATATGGAGTAACCCCAGTTAAGGTTCAGAGACTAGCCCTTTGTATTGCCTAAGTGGTGACTGACTGCTGAAAAATTGTTGAAAAGGCTCTGAAGATCCCAATAAACAGAAACCTGATCAAAACCATAGGCAATAAGTAGATTGAGGAGATGCTCATTTTTCTTAATAATTTCCTCGACACATTAGATCACTTCTAAATGCTATATCCAGTTTTACTACTGCCATTTAGATTATTTGTGTCTTGGAAGAAGTTTAATTTACTTGAAGTAAATTTAAACAGACAACTACAAAATCTTAAAGAATAACAGCTCTTTTGTTTACTAAGTAGTTAGCAGCTTTTTAAATGTAATCTTAAATTAATTTTTTAATGTAATCTGCCTTACTCCAAGGTACCTGCAGTTTGTCTGTGCCTTTTTAATTTATACCTACTACTATTAATGGAAAATAATAGACACAAAGAACAGAAGAATAAAATCTCAAACTAAATACTAAAGAAGAAAAGAAGAAAACCCCCAAGAAAGTATGTGTAAATATCTTAATATAAGATAATTTCATTTCAGTGACATATTTAGGTCAGATTTTTCTTGACCTTGTTTTTCTCGTGATGTTGTGGCATAGTAAGGGATAAGAATTTAGTAGGAACTCACATTTAGTTTTGTATCACCAGACTGTTAACCATTGTAGAACTGCCAGAATATGTCAAGTGCTCAAGTATATACAGCAGTTGCTGAGAGCAAATTTCAATCACACTGATATTCATTGCAATAATAATTGATAAATTGTTTAAAAAGTTGCACATTTTCAAAAGCTGCTAAGAATGGTTCTTGACTGTTTTAATATGAAACCAAGATCAAACAAATCATTCAAACTTGAGATAATATAAGCATGGTAAACGAAAATGCAAAGATGATGGAATAAAAGCGTGATACATTATGTATGAAAGAGCATATTCATAAAGAAAAACAGTGAATGAACTTAGCATATCTTTACAAAGCAGATAAAACAAACAAAATATCCTTCTAACTCAGTCTTACCAGGAAATATCAATACTGAAAGTTTAGGTCCTTTTTTAATCTGTGTTTCCTAAACAATAGAGAAGGTCTGTCGGCTGTCTCTTTTATTAGATTACCTCTCCAAGGTGGGCTCCATGTCTAGCAGGAGCCAACATTTTGCTGATGTGGCAAAGAAGATTAACAGTATCCTGACCTGCAATAGGAAAAATGTTGACAGTGGCCAAGGAAGATGATCTGCCCCTCTGCTCAGCTCTAAGATGGTATAGGGACTTGACCAGGTCATCTAAGCAAAGTTTGAGATAGCTGGGCTGTTCAGGCTGGAGAAATGAAGATTCAGGGGAAATATTGTCAATGTGTGCAAATGCCTGAAGAGGGGGGCTACAAGAAAGATAACACCAGGCTCTTTTCAGCCGTGCTTAGTGACAGCCCAGGAAGCAATGCATGAAACACAGGAAGTTCCACTTGAATATCAGAAAGCACTTTTTCACTGGAAGGGTGACTGAGCACTAGCACAGGTTGTACAAAGTGGTTTTAAATCTCTTACCTTTGAAATACTCAAAGGCATCTGGACATTGCCATGAACAACATTTCTAGGTGATCCTTATTGTGCAGGGGTGATTGGACAAGACAATTTTCAGCAGCCCTTTCAAACTTCTTCCATCCTATGATTCTGTGATAAAAGCAGTGAATTAGTAATAAAACCCAATTGTTTTTCTAAATAAACAAAAAGCTTTATAATTTTGGCAAAATTATATACAATTATGCCTGCAATTTTTTCTGCAGCTGTTTAATATTTTTTGTTGTTTACTAATTTATTTATTTATTAATTCGTTTTAAAAGGCTACTAATTTACAGAAAGAACCTACTAGAAGAAAATTTTAAGAAATTTTTCAGTATTTGCATTTTTTTTTCCTTTAAAGATGGATATACCTTGGTGCAGAGGTACATTATAATGACCTCTGAACATTTCAGTGGAGTTGTGAGTGGCATCATTCATCTTAGTGATGATGTTTCCTAAAGGGGGAAGTATAAATAGGTGTAAATCTTTAGACAAGTTTTGTGAAGACTGGAGACTCTATATTCAAGATCTTCATAGATACTAGTGTTAAGTGCAAAATGGCAATTGCCATCTTTGATTTGAGTGGACAGATTTTCTCCTCACAGACGTATAATTAATTGAAAACACAGTTTTTAAATTGCTTTGGTTTTATGCAAGTAAGATTAGTTCAGTCTTTTGATTAATTGTTTAGTATTTATAAATAGCAGGAAAATACATTTTCTGTACAGAAAATAACAAAAATATTCTGTTATGAATATAAAATTTTTGGCTACTTATCCCCACCAAAATCTGCTGTAAAAGTCTGTCCATAAAAATGCTATAATTTCTTCAGGCTGAGAGCCTGGTAGTTGCGTTCTTTTCATGGATGAAGTATTTACTAATTAATTCCCTCCTGCAATTCTAATTTAAACAGTGTAGTTCCTTATATTATGAAACACAATGATTTAGTGCAGCTGTACAAGAAGCAGTTCACAAGGAGTGATCCTTGTGCATAAAAATTACATCTTCAAATGTGTCTTGTGTGTGAGTTTAGCATAACACCAACACAATTCAATTAAAAATCACAATGGCTTTATCATTGTGGTTAGATCAAATAGCTGTAGGGAATTAAATTAAAAATTACTGATGGAACATACTGGTAGTATCTGTTGTTTAACATAGAGTGGTTTATCTTAATTTATATTTTGGTCTATATTCCTCTATTTGTCTTCACAGTGGTGTTTCTGAGTGATTAATAACTACTGATAGTATTCAAGCTTGCATAACAGTGAAATTCAACTGCAGAAGCACGTGTCTGTATTGTTGCTTCTCCCTTGGTCTTGCAGATACTGTGGCTGAAGGAGTTATCACACAGTTTCTAGTACTTAAAAAATGTTTAATGTATGATTCATTTTTGATTTCCCGTGAAGTGACATAAAGTGTGTTGATGTGGGCTAGCCACTGCAAGATGTCAGTCTTAGAAGCCAAGAGCAGTTCGGGCTGGGAGGAGTCTGTAATTAGATTGTCCAGCTCCCCTGTCGTGGGCAGGAACACCCTCCACTAGACCAGACTGCTCAAAGTCTGAGCCAGAACTTGAATGTTTCCAGTGATGGGGCATCCACAGATTCTCTGAGTAGTCTGTGTCAGTGTCTCACTAATAGCATAGTGAAAAATGTCTTCCTTATGCTCAATCTAAAACAATACTTGTC